GGCCGTGCCTTGGCGCCGCCTTCCCGGGCGCTGGGCGATCCTCCCTCCCCGCCCACCCACCCGAGCCCTCCGCTGCTCCAGTGAAGGAGTCTCCTCAGCCGGCGGCCGCACCCCTCACGGGCGCCCCGCCGTCTGCCGCTCGCCTGCCTCCGGCACTCGCCTGGGGTCGGCGAAGCGCCCCGCCCTCGTCGTGCCCCGTCTCACCTCTCAGTCCGCGTCCACTTCCTTAGGAGGCCTCTGGCTTCTACCCGAGAAAGCTCAGCTGTCTCCCTCCTCGCTTTGCCCACCGCAGCTGTCCGGCTCTAGACCCTCCTGCTCATGCACCTCATACTGTCAACTACGTGACGGTCACTGGACAACTGCTACAGTCTCCTAACCTCATTTCCCCTCTTGCGGCCAGGTGGGTTACCTGCGTTGTGGTCGCATGGGTCATCTGAGCCACTTGTCCCAAGTGCCTGCCCCTCCCCTTCCCCTGGGCGCCACCTCACTGCTGGCCCCCACTAGTCTCCCACTTCTAAACTCTGCCTACCCCTTAGCCTTCTCAGAACCCCCATCTGGTCTCCAACCCCCGACCCTGTCCTCCACTCCCCCCGGCACTCCTTCCTCAGGCTCAGTCTCTCCTACCCCCTGCTGCTCCTTCCAGCAGCCCTATGGGTCTCACTCCTCCTACTACCCAGCTTCCATTCATTTCCATCCCTACCCCTGGCCCAAATTGTCCTTCCTGAGCTGAAGCTTCCTTCTTCTCCAGGGTCTGCTCATTCATTCAACAAATATTTATTGAGAGACCTACTATATGCCAGGCTCTGTTCTAGATGCTGGGGATACTGCGGTGAACAGAACAGACAAAATTCCCTGCCTTCCTTCAGCATCATAGTTGGAGTAACAGACAATAAACAAAATAAGTAAATTATATGGTATGTTAGAAAGAGGCAAGTTCTGCAGAGGAAAATAAAACAGAGCAGGCAGCTGGGAAGCATGGGGTGGAGTCTGGGTTTGAAGACCTGAGGAGGGGAGGCCTTCAAGGAGTTGGGGAGGAACGGTCCAGGCAGAGGCACAGCTTTGCAGAAGGTGGGGACAGTGAACAGCAGGAGACCAGTGTGGCTGGAGAGGGACAAAACAGGAGACCAGGGGAGATATAGGCCTTTGTATGGACTTTGGTTTTTACTGAGTGAGAGGGGGACGCATTGGAGGGCTTGGAGTAGGGCAGTGACGTGATCTCACTTGTGTCGTAAAATAATATGACTGCTGGGGGTTAGGGGGACACAGGTGGGGGCAGGAAGACCAGGCCAAAGATAATAGTAGCTTGGCCTAGGGTGGGAGACTGGAGTGGTCCAATTTTGGATCTATTCTGAAGGTAGAACCAACAGGATTTCCTGAAAATTAGATATGGAGTGTGAGAAAAAGAGAGGACAGCTACAAGGTTTCCAGTTAAGGAATTATTTGCCATCATTGAGATGGGGAGGACTGCTGGGGTAGAAGGTCTGCGGGGGGTCAGGTGTCCCATTTTGGACATAAGATCAAGATTTTTAGTCAAGATCCAAGTAGATGTATCAGTAGATGGTTATATATGAGTCTGGAGTCCAAGGGAGAATCCTGGGCTGAATGGGCATCCGGGAGTCATCAGCACAGAGATGGTGTTGAAGCCTGGCGATGGGATGAATCTCCATGGCAGTGAGGGAAGAAAGAACGGGACCAACACTGGAGCCTGGTGCCTCCAACACAGCGAGGCTGGGAAGAAGAGGATCCAGCAGAGGAGACGGAAAAGGGGAGATCACTGAGTTGAGGAAAATGGAGGAGTGGAAGCCAAGGGAAGGAGTGAGACAAGGAGGAAGGCGTGGTCAGCCAGAGCACATGCTGCCAGGGGGTCAAGTAAGAGGAGGACTTAGCAACATGGAGGCCACTGACGGCCTTATTCGGCTCCAGCTGCCCCTCATCTACTCCTGCCATCTTCCTGCTGCCTGTTCTCCAGGCCCTTTGGGACCTAAATCAGCTGCCATGGACACTTCTCTCTGTCCCCTTCTGCCATTTCCAGTTTCTGTCCTGTAACCCTGGGTACAACACTGTTGCATGGAGCCTGTTCTATTTTCTTATTCACTAGCTTCCTTTTAAATAAATTATATTTTTAAAGTGAGCTAATTTAAGAAAAATATTAAGTAAAGAATACTACAGGTGGTCCATAGACAGTGCAAGTCATCAGAGTTGTGCTGCTGACGTGACTCGGGTTGGGAAACAGTCTCTTGACTTCGTCGTTCCCTCTTCTTCCTCTAATCCATCTCCAGATGTGGCCAGAGTGACCTTTATTAAGCATACATGTTAGATCCTGTCACTATTACACTCAAGATGAAATTCAAACTCCTTAGCATCGTGTATAAATGAACAGCTCAAACCGCCTTTTTGCAATTCTGCTCCTTCCCATGCTGCTCACTGCTGAGAACCTCCCCGCCTCCAACCCCCTGCTCCTCCTCTTCCTGCTGGGCAAACTCCACTCAACCTTCCAGACTCAGCCAGGACTTCCTATTCCTCCAGGTGGCCTCCCTGACCCTCTAGGCTGGGTTAAGTGTCCTGTGAGCACCCCCAGTACCTTCTGCATCACCCTGTTGCCACATTTACCACACTCTTTTTGTAATATATGATTTTCTGTTTTTGTCCCCATGAAAAAAGTACCCACAGTTGCAATTTTTTTTTTTATGAGGAAGATTATCACTGAACTAACATCTGTGCCCATCTTCCTCTATTTTATATGTGGGATGCTGCCACAGTATGGCTTGATGAGCAGTGTGTAGGTCCACGCCTGGGATCTGAACCTGCGAACCCCGGGTCCCCGAAGCAGAGCACACAAACTTAACCACTATGCCACTGGGCCGGCCCCCATAGTTGCAATTTTTATAGATTTTTACCAGATTGTTTTCCAAAAAGCTGCCCCATTTAGACTCCTACCCACAGGATATCAGACTACCTAAAGTGCCACACCCTCCTCAACCATAGGCATTATCAAACTTTGCTTTGCTAATCTGTTCAATGCAAAAATAGTATCTCATTTTGATTTGCATTTTTTAAAATTATGAGTGAGGTTTAGCTTTTTTTTTTGCTGGGAAAGATTTGCCCTGAGCTAACATCTGTTGCCAATCTTCCTCTCTTTTTTTTTTCCCCTCCCCAAAGCCCCAGTACATAGTTGTATATTCTAGTTGTAGGTCCTTCTAATTCTTCTATGTGAGCTACCACCACAGCGTGGCTACTGACAGACGGTGGTGTGGTTCCGTGCCCAGAACTGGGCCCAGGCTGCAGAAGAGGAGCGTGCTGAACTTTAATCACTAGGCCATCAGGGCTGGCTCGAGGTTTAGCTTTTATTAATTTGTTTGGCAATAACCTTTTTTAAACTCAAGGATAGGGTGATTTGCTTTTTAAGAGAAGGAGGATCTTTGAGGTACCTTCCCAAGTCATGGGCTTCAGCATAGGGAATGAGTTTTGGACGCCTCTCCAGTAGGAGACCACATGGTTCTGACAGACATGTGGAGGTAAAGAGGCAGGAGGGTGAGTAGATTGAGAAAGTCACAGAGCCGGTTCTAGCCCGGGTTCTACTGACCCACAGGATGACCTCAGTCGAGTCACTTCTCTCTGGGCCTCAGGAAAAGGAAGAGCTTGGACAAGTCATCTGGTCCCTTCCAGCTCCAATGTTGCGTGACCCTAAGAATGGTTGCTAAGAGTAGTTCTGATCTTAGGTACCCACAGTTTACAGACTGAAGTCCCAGCTCCTTAGCCTGGCATTTAAGTTCCTTCTCCATCTGGCCCCAACATACATTTCCAAATTCATGTCCCAGTTAAAAGCCCCCAATGCCCTATACCACCATACTGTTCCCTGAATAAGTCCTGCAATTTCAGGCCCTGGTTG